TCGATGATTGAGGCATGTTCAAGAGCGTAAAAAAATTCTCTGATCCAAAATGGTTTTTGGTTATTTGATTTTCGGATTAAACGATTCATTTTTTTAATTATGTTTTGGTTAAACCGAATAGCATATCATACTATTGTTTTATTACTTGTATACAAGCTTATTAGTGGTCATTGAAAACCCACAAAAATGGGTAGTTGGGGGGCACAAGGCCAGAAAGATGGCCAGATGGGCACCTATGGTATATAGGCCGATTTTATTCGGGTGAGGATATATGTATCCTTCTTTTTTTTTTGTAAGGGTGTCCGGGCCAAAGCCCGACTAATCCTCGGCAAATTTGGAGGCTAAACATGGCCCCACTTAAATGTCGCCAACACTCCCCTCCCAAGGCTCGAACTCGGGTTCATGACAATGCCATGCCCAAGCCTTTACCACTAGGCTGGAAGGTCTTTGACTATGTATCCTTCTTTATTGGTAAAGTGCACCACTTTTTATCCCTTAGGTCAAAATCAACTGATAAATTATTTTTTATTAATTTAAAAAAAAAAATTATGGCTTATAAATTTATGTTTTATAACTTTTTTCAACATTGTTTTCTAATTTTATTTTTCTAAATTTATGTTTTATAATAAATTTTTGCCAACTAACTATTTCTAAATTAATTCAAATAACTATAAAATTATTTTTAATTTTTATAATTGTATTGTTAACGTTTTAATTAATTAATAATTTATATATGTATTTTTTTATATAAATATGTAAAGCTACAAAGATAAAATAATTTAATACAAAAAAGATTATCAAAATAAGTTAATTGATAAATCAACAAATAAAGTACAAAAAATCTGAAAATATTACAACTCAATCAAGTGAAATAAATTCCATAATACGATTACTAGATAACAATTGTTCGTACTTATTTATTCGGGTCATGTAAGAAGTAGCTCATGCGTGTAAAGACCCAATTTTTTTTTCTTAATATAATAAACGTCCATGTATAAATAAGCCATAAAGTCTAAATAGTTCAATGCAATGGAATTTTTTTTAAACTAATAAAATTTAAAGGAACATTTGTCTAATCATATTCATATCAAGTCTCGGATAGTCTCCACGCCAAACCTTTATTCCACGATAGCTGGTTCTAAACTTTCTCCTTTCCCTTGCTACTATTCTCGTGTGTGAGACACCTGGTTGCATAATTGTTTTTTAAAGGAGTTGGGTAAGCCAAGGGCCCAGTGTATTAACGTTTTTAATGCATACACAACGTAAAAAAAATAGATTTCACAAAGCGTCATAATTTATCATGCATACGGTTTAAACAACATACTTTACAAAGCCAGTGGCGTTACGAGAGTTGACTACCTCACACAACATTACCTGGCGGACTCACACAGCATGTCCGCACTTACAGTTTAGACAATTTCACAAAACATGCTTGTCTTTAAGGAATCATACTGTAGTACAGCCCCCAATCCCCATTGCCACACAACATATTTTATAAAATAAGGCACGTTTTACGCATACATGATATTCACATATATCAAGAAAATCCAGCAAGCTTGCATATAATTGTAAATAAAATGTACAACCATTTTTAGGAAAGTCACGTATAACTCACCGTACAAGTCGTTGCCTAAACCGATCCTTGAAGTGGCTAGCTCCTCCCCTACAACTACAAGACTGTACTTTTAAATCTAAGGTAAAATATGATTCCCTACCTACGATAATCAAAGATGATCACGTGGTCCCCTTGACACTGTTTTATTTATTTATTTTGCAATCCAAATGCCGACGTCCCTAGTTTCGACGTGTTTTAAACTAAACATTCATATATATATATATATATGTGTGTGTGTGTGTGTACTAATTATTCATGATCTTATGGCTTACGCATGCATGCATGAAATGTATATACTATATATATATATATATATATATATAGAGAGAGAGAGAGAGAGAGAGAGAGAGAGCAGAACGTTCAAATGAAAACCGCCTCCATTTGTGTAAACCGTGTAAACTAATCTTATACATCCATTTTCTTGATCAATGGTCAAGATTAGTTTACTTTATTTTAGAAAATTAAAAAAATATATTAAAAATTTATTTTTATATCAGCAATAAGGGCAAAATGGTAAACAAAAATACATATTATTTAACATCCTATTGAAGGACATTATTTTTTATTTTAGGAAATTAAAAAATTCTATTTGTTAGAAAATAATTTCGCTAATGCAGCAGCCTTTTTATTCCTTATCCTGAAATTGTTTCAATGTTCTTCACACACCCATGTAAATATGCACCCTATTCATTATGAAATTATTTCAAGACGCACCGGTTTCATCATGAATCCATTTCAGCATGCAATTATTTCATGACAAACCGCATACATATGGAAACAACACATAAAAAACTAATGTGTACTAATTATTGAGTTTATAAACGAAGGGGAACACGCACACATACACACCTACATACATACATATATATATATATATATATATATATGTAGAGAGAGAGAGAGAGAGAAAGAGTGTGTGTGTGAGAATAGGGTTCATACGAGAATAGTAACCAAATAAGAAAATATAGAAACGATTGAACCACATGTGATTTTACACTAAAATCACATACAAAATCACATGCGGTTCACAACGACTTTGTCCGCGAGCTGATGTTGTAGGCAGGTTGTCTGCTCACCCTTGCATTGACCGTGTTCTGTAACGGCATGTAAAATCACTTGTGATTTGGTCATTTTCTTAATCTCGTATTTTAACCATGTTCTCGTTTGATCCTCCCTATATATAGGAGGTTCTAAATATGAACCATACAATTGTTACAAATCATCAAGTCAATCAACTAATATATTTATGAAAATGATGAAGGTTCATTTATTATGATTTGGATATTTATGAAATATGATTATAGTTTATTAATTATAATCAACACTTTATATTAGAAAAATAATCGAAAAAATTTATGAAATCACATATGTTGAGATTGGTTTGTATACTTTGTAACAACATGTTAGATATTTATGGATGATGATTAGAGTGCCTTGCGATTTGAACAATGTTTTTGTAACTCAAACTGCAAACTAAACCACATAGCATTGTTTAACAAAATTACAAACCATAACCACATCGCAAAACTTCTAAACCACCTAGTTCGATTTGGTGCAAGTGGCTTGATGAACATCCCTACATTACGATGTAAAGTTACTCATAAATTGTTTACTAAATGTTTACTGGAAACAACCTCAACGTTTACAAGATGTCACTTACCATAGTGAGTGATTATATCAATGATCGAAAACCTTACCCGGTAAAAGTCATAACAAGGATCGAAAATATATTTATGGTTATAGCAAGCTTATCTCTTTATTTATGGTTAGCCTATTTGAGTTATAGACACAATATATTACCCAAACATGGGTCGGACCTGTGATCATCCTTAAGCTTAAAATAAAGGTTTTATTTAATTTTATTAATCATAATAAATTATACGTAAATACATTTACACATAAAACATTGTAATTATCATAATTACACTTTTAACACATAATTTACCGTCAACGTTACATAATTCAGGTTTTTGATCATCCAATAATCATATCGAAGCATACGTATTTTTTGTGTGCGACCAGATAGTTTTATGTACTCATTTGCAGCATTAGTATGTGACACGTATTGTGGGCATATAAAAAATTACATTTTTATTTTCTCGTTTCATATTTAGTAAAAATAAAATCTTCACGAGGAAAGATGCAACATAAAACATGATGTAGGTCTTTAACTTTATAGAAGACGGTCATATTATACACGAGAGGCAGTTACATATATTGTGTAAAAACAATGGATTTTAAGCCGATTAAAGAACCAACATTTCTTAAAACCAGCTAAAATCTCGCACAAAAATCCATTTCTTTTTTAGGGTTAACGAGACACCTGAATCTGCAAGTAAAAACAAGAAGATTTCTCGAAAACCGGCGGAAATTTCGCACAAAGGGTCATTCTTTTCATAGAGTCAAGTTTTTATTTGTTAATTTCTTTTTTCAGCTATCTAATTACCGTATCCATACAACTAAGTTGTTATAAATTCTAACGAATACAAAAAACATATTACATTATTCCGAATATGGTTTTGTTACTCTAAAAAGATGCTAATATTTGGATGAAATTACCAAAATATAAATAATTGATTAAATTCAAAACAGAAATACTTCACATAATGAATTTCATTCATAAACTATAAATAACATTTGATAAAAAAATTTAAGCATAAAATAGTCATTTTATTTCATTTTAATATTTATAACCGTAAAATTATAAAATATATCAATTAATTTCTTGGAGTGTGAAAAATGTTTCATCTTATCGCTTGATTTAGAAAAATCCGATCGATTATTTTCTTTTATACGAGTGTAAAACAATCAAAATCCCGAAACAACCAAAAGATCTATGAGCGAGAGAAATTAAATATACAAATAGATTATAATTGTTTTTCTTAAATAACAAAAATTAATGAATTAATAATTTTACAACAAATTAATATAAACAAACCATTGTAATAAAGTGTGATAGATAAAAAAAAATTAGTTTAAAGTTGAATTTAAGATTTAAGTAGACATATGAAATATGTTAATACTACTAATTTAAGTGGTTTCCTATGTTTGGTCAAAAATATTAATTTCATTTCAATTTTGCAATAAATTTAAATAAATAAAATACAACCCCTTATTCCTTTAAAACCACGTCTCTTTCTCTCTCTAAAAAAACCAGTATTTAGGGGGTTGAGTTCTTGAATCTTTTTCTTTCTTTTTTTCTTAAAATCCCTCTCAATCTTTAAGCTTACACCACTTTATGGTTTTCCTTTCTTCCATGGCTTTCTCCTTTCTACTTCTTTATAACTTCCCCATAGCTTTCACTACCATTTCAACAACAACAACAACAATCAACCCTACTCTCATTCTCTCCATCCATTGCTAGATTCCCCCCTCTCTCTTGCTTCAACTTCCATACACCTATACATCAGTTTCAAGAGGATGATGAAGGATTTCCCAGATGAACAGATGAATTTGCCTCCTGGATTCAGGTTTCATCCCACCGATGAAGAACTCATCACTCATTATTTGATCCACAAAGTTCTTGATGATACCTTCTCCGCAAAAGCAATTGGAGAAGTGGATATGAACAGGATTGAGCCATGGGAATTGCCCAGTAAGTCTTGTTTTGGATTCAAATTCATCTTCTTCTTTTTGTTATCATTTGTTGAAAAGTTTCTGACTTCCGGTTTCGAATTAAGGGTTGGCCAAAATGGGCGAAAAAGAGTGGTATTTTTTCTGTGTTAGGGATAAGAAGTATCCCACCGGATTACGAACCAACAGAGCAACCGATGCCGGATATTGGAAAGCCACCGGAAAAGATAAGGAGATTATCCGGGGGAAATCGCTGGTCGGGATGAAGAAAACTTTGGTTTTTTATAAAGGGAGAGCTCCAAAGGGGGAAAAAACAAATTGGGTAATTCATGAATATAGATTAGAGGGTAAACCATCAATCCAAACCCCACCAAAAACAGCCAAGGTATTGCTTCTTGATTCATCCTCTGTTTTTATAATCTACTCTGTTTTTGGTTGTTGATTCTTTGATTTGTTGAATTGCAGAATGAATGGGTGATCTGCCGGGTGTTTCACAAGAATTCCGGCGAGAAAAAGGTGAATGGTTCAGGGATGATGCTGGCGAATTCAGGTGGAAATGAACTTGTTCCGGCACCTATGCCGCCATTAATGGACTCTTCGGCACCGTTTGCTGGTGGCAGGGCCACGGTGATCAAATCCGATTCCGTCAACGTGCCCTGCTTCTCCAATCCGATCACCATTCAGACACCACATAACAACTTTCTCAACAATCCTAGCTACCCTTTTGATCCCAGTTCCGATGGTAATAATTACTGTTTTCCGGCGACTCAATCATCTCTTCCGGCCATGCAAGATAATCCCGAATCTCAATTCCAATTCCAGTTCCAATTCGGCAGCGGTTACACATTTCCAGGTCAAGATCAAACAATCTTGAAGGGTTTAATCGAAGATCATCATGGGTTCGAAATGGATGGAGAGATGGTTACAGGTTCTCAAGAAACAGGGCTGAGTAGTGAGATGAACACCGAGAACTCATCCGTGATGTCGAATCTTGAAATTGGAAAAGTGGGATTTCAAGATCAAGAAGCTCCATCAACTTCTGTCGCACCCATTGACGATATGGATTGCATCTGGAATTACTGAAATGTTAAATCAATAAAATCAAGAAGATGATTATATGAAGCTATGAAGATGATGAATAGAAGAAGAAAAGAACGAGTTGATTTCTTGAAAATGAATTGTGTGTTAAAAATGCAGAGAATTTTTCTGATGCTTGAGACAAATATTTTCAGGTGATGAAGAAACACTAGTATAATATGTAAGAGATGATATGGTAATTAGTATTTTAATTTTGTTAATAAATAAATCAGGTTTAGTACATTTTTATTTAATTTAATATTAATTACAATGATTTCAAATTTTGCAAAATATTTTCTTGAAATGTGATTGCTAAAAATACTTTTGTTTTGTATAATTCATGTTGATAGTAGAGTTTCGTGTCTAAAAATCCCATTTATTCTTAATTCTGTATGGGTTAAGTTATTTTACTGATAAATTTATTTGTCTGGGAAACAAGAGACCAATGGATTTAAGGGAGAACAAAAAGAGAGGGTTGGATTTTTCTCGGGGCATTTTTGGTATCAATTTGTTTAAGGCGACTTAATATGGACAAGTGAGGGATATTGGTTTCTTCTATACAACCATTTTGGCTTAATGGCTTACGAATTAAGCTGTAAAGAAACACTTTTATATGGCTGAACGAATAAGCCGTACAGACCATTAAGCTCATTAAGCTGTAAATAAGCAACCCCATATATGTTTGATAGATAAATTTCAATAACAATTACTATATCCGTATTAAATATGCAAAATATGATGTCTTTTTGCATTGATGGTCTTTAGGATGGATAGAAACACGAAAACCATAAAAAATTTAAATATAAGAATTATGGTGGTTTGTTTTCGATTTTATTACTCAACTCTATATAGCAAATATTGGTATAACTTATTTAAATTAGATATGATCTAAACAGATTTTCGATTATGGCCCTAATTACTTTGACATGTTTATTGTGTAAGTAAAATTTAATTTATTTGTTTTAAAAATCGATTCTTAAACAAATAAATATATGAAGATTTTTGGGTCCAATTGGACCTAGTCAAACCTTACTCGTCTGACTGAGGTATGTGATTTGATAACAAAGAGAAAACACTAGAACTCTTCTCAGGTACAAACTTATATCGAGAGCAATCTAGTAAAACTGAAGAGGCAGATGATGATTCGTAATAATGAATCCGGTTATCAACTCAAATATATATAAATCCAGTATTGTCAAGATTGATCCTCCAATTTATCAAGAAATGCACCACAACCCTCAAACTTCTTGACAGCTACAAGTCAGCTACTCATATTACAACATATAACAGAATCAACCCTTTATCAACAACCACCTACAAAAAACAACAATAAATGTCAAGATTGGATAAAATGAAGGCTATATTTAACATCCCCCTCAATCTTGACATTTGAACAAGTCAATCAACATTAACTTTGAACAAAAGTAATTATGTTGACTCACACTAAGAGATTTAGTGAAAATGTCAGCAGACTGTTCAGAAGAAAGGATTTTTACAATTTTTAACACACACCCATTTACCTTTTCTCTAACATAATGTAAATCAATTTTCATATGCTTAGTTCGTTCATGAAAAACATGATTATAAGCAATTTCTATAGCAGATTTATTGTCACAATATAGATTTGCAGAAAGTAAATCTTTAATTCTCAAATTTATTAAGATTTTAAGAACCCAAACAATTTCACATGTAGCAGTAGCCATCCCTCTATATTCAGACTCAGCTGAAGAACGGGAGACAATATTCTGTTTTTTACTTTTCCAAGAAATCATGGAATTTCCTAGAAATAAACAAAAACCAGTGATAGATCTTCTGGATGAAAGACACTTACCCCAGTCAGCATCAACAAAAGCTGATAAAAGAAAAGATTCTGACCTTGTAAAAAACTAACACCTTTTCCTGGTGAAGATTTCAAGTACCTGAGAACTCTTAAGGCCAATTTAAGATGAGACTAATGAGGAGAGTGCATAACTTGACTTAAGCAATGAACAACAAAGGCAATGTCAAGATGAGTGGCAAGTAAATAGATTAGTCTACCAATCAACTTTTGGTAACCAGTACAATCATGCAAAGGAGGATCATCGGTAATAGTACGTTTATATCCATAGGTGTATTAATAGGTTTACATCCAAGATATCCAAAATCATTTAACAACTCCAAACAATATTTTCATTGAGACATATATATTTCTTTATCAAAATCAAGGTCTTCAATTCCTAAAAAAAACTTTAGTTTACCAAGATCTTTAATCAAGAAATTACTTTTCAAATATGCTTTAACTATATTTATCTCTACCAAGTTATCCCCAGTTAAAACAATATCATCAACATATACTAAAAGAACAACAAGCCTAGATTCACCACATTTGGTGAAAAGAGAGTAGTCACTAACACTTTGAGTAAAACCATTACTAATAAGACAGATGACAGTTTGACATACCACTGACGGAGTGCTTGATTTAATCCATAAAGGGATTTTATAAGCTTACATACTCTTTTATCGTCATAATTGAAATATCCTTCAGGTAAAGTAATATAAACTTCTTCAGACAAATCACCATACAGAAAAGCATTATTGACATCTAGTTGAAACAAAGACCAATTACATTGAACAACAAGAGCAACAATGCATCTAATAGTTACCATTTTCACAATAGGAGAAAAAGTTTCTTCATAATCAAGACATTTTCTTTGATTATACCCTTTAGCAACTAAACGAGCTTTGTATCTTTCTATTTCCAGAGGATTTATACTTTATTTTAAAAATCCAATTTACACCCTATTGGTTTTCTTCCTGTAGATAAATCAGTGATAATCTAAGTTTCATTTCTGTAGAGAGCTTCAATTTCATCATTCATGGCACCAACTCAATTTTTATCATTACAAGCTTCTGAAAAATTCTTTGATTCAATAGATTTGTTCAAATTCGACACAAAACAAAAAGTTTTAGAATTCAGGTAAGAGTAATTCACAACTCTTTCTAAGCCATACATAACTTTGCCTTCTCTGACAAAGTTATCAATTTTTTTAGGAAAATTGGAAACTCTAGTCATTCTTCCAATAGTTCCTTGATTGTTGGTGTTGATCCTCTCTCTCAGTGATTTGATGATAATCCCTTTTTCCTTTCGATGTATTTCTGTGTCTGTAATTTCAGTTCCAGCGATCATACACTGAGCCTGTTCAGTGATCGCTGAAGAACTTGTTTTGTAATTCATTCAGAGACAACGATACTTCAAGAAAANGTTCTCAGAGGTCATCTCATCAGAACTTCCGGCGCTTCTAACAGAGGCTCTGTGAGTTGAGCTGAGCGAATATTCATCTCTCTATGGATTTTCTAAAACCGTTTAGGTAAAAAGGTGTAACACTTATAAGAAGGCCCGACACATATCACAGAGGCTCTGTAACCCTTAGGTCTCTAACAGAACTCTGTTGATAGTTCTTGTCTATTGATATGGGACGCGTGGTTCTATGGATAAGGGTAAGAACAAACACGCGCATGTCAGAAAACGAAAGCGCACGTCATCAATCGCGCGTTTTCCCAATACGGCGTGTCATACCTTTTCTGAACCGTTTCACCCAAATCCACTCATTACACGACCTTTTGTACATCGGACGGTTCAATTTTAAAAATCCTTACCTATAAATACCCTCCTTCCCCCCAAATTAAAACCTTACGCTCTCATAAACTCTCATACGAACCTGCAACCTGCAATTTCTCAAATCTTACCTGCAACCATGTCGTCTTCAAGCGCCTCAGCCCAGTCTGTTAACGTCTCAAGTGACAACGAGGTGACGCAAGCATAAGCCCTAACATCACACGCCCTGTCTTTCGTGCAAAGCAAGTACGAAAAGATCATTCTCGTGAAAAAGCTGAATAACTACTACTTCGTCCCCTCAGGTTTTCCCGATTTCACCTTCCCTCTAATGGAAATACTAAGGAACCACCCTCTTTTTTATGCTTTATCTGCTACTCGACCCAGACCAGAAACTTATTTAACCCAATTTTTGTTGAGTGCCTACATTACCACCCTTGACAATACTGGGCTAACCATTGTTGGTTACGCCTCTCACCCAGTGAACAAATCACTAGTTCCGTTAGAACTTAATGTGGAAACTTTGAGAACTGCTCTACATTTGCCTACCCTTGAACAACTAAATCTAAATGCCTATGTTGAGACCCCAACCGACGAGGAATTAATCAAATTCCTGGAATTTCATTCATATGCGACCCCGATTACTAAAAGGACACAATTCAGGCGTAAGGGACTACCCCTTGTTTGGAACACACTATTTTCAATCATAAACTGCTGCCTAACAGGAAAGGTAGGCAGTCATGACCAGACTTCCCACGCCATGCTGTCAATCATGTATGGCATCTACTTCAATCTTCCATTGGACTACGCACAGCTGATATTCGAGGACATAGTCGGCCTCATCAAGAAAAAGT